AACACTGATGCCCAGCTCAGTCTCCCCTTCTCACTCCATCTGCGACCCCAGCCCATGCCACAGCACTGACCACGTTTAAGGTGTATCGGCTCACCTCCACAAACCCAATCTAGGAACTCCATCACAGACATGCCTATAGGTCCATCCTCTAGATGATTCTAGACCCTGTCAAGTTGCCACTCAGTATTAACCCATCACAGACTACCCTATTCTTTTAAACACTGTCAACTGCTGGATGTGTCTTGGTTTTTGTGCTTTGTTTCATCAAGGTCATACTTCATACCAGCTAGCTTCCAACTCATGATCCTCCTGCCTCGGCCTCCTCAATACTGAGATTACAGGTGTGGCCTCCTCAATACTGAGATTACAGGTGTGCACCACACTCAGCTCTTACATAAGTTATTTAAAAGTTTTCACTATAAAACAGAACTGCTGTGCATACCCCAACATGCACACATTTCATCATCTTCTTCTAATCATTAGCATCAAAATAAGAATACCAAAGTGAAAATAAGTGACCTTAGCAGTGTGGCCGCCTAATTAAAAGTTCCTGATTTTTGCTACATGGATCTTTCCTCTTATTACACTCTTTCCTTTGATCCATGTTTTTACTGTTGTCTAGCAAGGTGATACCTTCAGGGAAAACACACAGGAAGGAGTGTTAATTTAAAAGCAATGATACCATGTTCTCTTCCCCAGTATGTCTGCATTGCTAAGACAATGAACATGTACCACCCAAATTCTCACCCCACACACATCCCACATTGACCATGCATCTAGTCACAGGGGACACTTGGAGAGTCATCAACAATGTGAAATACTTGGGAGTTCAACATTCTTTTGCTAAAAATATCTTTATTAAATGCCAGCCTATTCTTGGAATGACACTAGGTGCTAGAGAGCCATGGAAGCCCTGCCCTTGGCAGCCATCAGCCTGGTAATGCAGAGGGACAGGAAATTCAAAGCTCAAGTGTGCTTTGGGAGCTTGAGGGAAGGGGGCCTAACCAGGGAGCTTTCCTGAGTAATAACACAAGATGGTCAGCAGTGAGCTGGTCGTGTAGACTTGGTGTCCCAGGGGAATCCAGACAAGGGGCAGAGTGGCACAACATGTTCAGGCGCTCTCTCTTTTTTCCTCAGAGACTAGGAAGTGAGCAATTTGGTTCCAACCCAACCTCCCAGCCCTAATGTCCTGCCTCAGCACAGTTCCACAGCTCTGGGGCCCAGGTACCTCTGAAACCATGAACTGAGACCAACAGCTCATGCTCAGCCTGTTTTGTCAGGATTTTTGTCTCAGCAGCATGAAAACCCAACATAGTATTTTCCCCTCTAACAGAGATTGTGGTATGTTTTACATGGCACCAGAGCCTTCGTAAATACATGAAAACCTAGAACCAAACATGGTGATTCATGCCTGTAATCTTAGCACTTGGGAAGCTGTGACAGGAGGTATATTGGCTGGTTTTTGTGTGTCAACATGACACAAGCTAGAGTCACCAGAGAGGAAGGAGCCTCATTTAAGGAAATGTCTCCATCAGATCCAACTGTAGGTTATTTTCTTAATTAGTTATCAGTGTGGGAGGGCCCAACATATGGTGAGTGGTGCCATCCCTGGGCTGGTCATCCTGGGTTCTATAAGAAGGTGGGCTGAACAAGCCATGAGGAGAAAGCCAGTAAGCAGCTCCCTTCCATGACCTCTGCATCAGCTCCTGCCTCCAGGATCCTGCCCTGTTTGAATTCCCATCCTGACTTCCTTCAGTGATGAACAGCAATGCTGAAGTGTAAGCCTAATAAACCCTTCCCTCCCCAATTTGTGTTTTGGTCATGGTGTGTCATCGCAGCAACAGAAACCCTAACTAAGACAGGAGGATTGCTTGATCTTGAGACCAGCCTGCTAGGCTCAACAAAAGAAACAGATCTGAAGATATGAATGCTCACTGGTGTGTGTGTGTGAGAGAGAGAGAGGGGTGGGAGGGAAAGAGAGAGTGCACAAGCAGGCATGTATCACTGAAGAGCATCCCCAGCCCTAATTTTAATATATTTAACCCAATACATCAAAATTGTAAATTTGAAACAATAACATTACTTCAAAAGCTTAGCAAAAGAAAAAAAAAAGTCAAGCATCCCTTAATAAGTTCCATGTGTATTTCATGGTTACAATACCTCCCAGTTCAGAGAGTTAAATTTCCAGTTCTCCATAACCACAGGTGGCTAATGGCTACCAGACTGGATAGCACAGGAGAAACTGGGGCCTTATAGGATTGGAAAAATCCAATCCCCAAAAAAAGTTAAGTAAACAAATAAATCCATAAAGGACGATACAATGCCACTAGAGAGCCCTTGGAGTACAGCACAGCTAAAGGCAGAAGAGCACTGGGCAGAGCTTAAGTGGGGACTCAAACAAGGCATGATGGCAATCATGAAAAGACAGCCTCACACATGGATCCAAGATTTGGATGCAGCAGACTGAGAGAATCAACGACCAAGACCATCACTCCAGAGGAAGAGCGAGGGTGGAGTGCAGAGGAACAGGGGTCATCCAGGAACCCCAGCCCACAGAACATCATTGTGACCCAGGAGGGATGAGGAAGGTGCAACCCATGCAAAAGTGGACGGGAGTGAAATGGTCTTGGGCCTTCTAGGTGATTGAAGATCAGGACTCGGGTCTACAAGCTAAGGAGACGGAATGCAAAGAGGTACAAAAGATCCCCAGCCAGCAGTCCAGATGTTCTGGAAGCCCAGTTAATCATGTCCACAGGGGAACATGACTACAGGTAACAGCCCCAGAACAGAGTACCAAGCAGCAGGGCTGAGGTGCAGCCCCCTTCTTTATCCACACACACACACACACACACACACACACACACACACACACACACACCTGTGGGACGTTCTATAAGCCAATACTTGTCCCACATTCGGAGGCGCAACATCTCCAAAGGAACACTAGGGTACTGGGTACCATCAAGGCCCTTCCCTTCGGTAAAATGCTGCAAACCCTATCTACATCAGAATCCAGATTGACAGCTCTCTGCCCAGAGACTCAACTAACAAGCATGCCTTCCCAGGAAGAGGATACTGATCATAACCAGAAGCAGTTTATTTTATGAAGTGGTCTCTTCCTTCCACACCCAAGCCAAGGATTCTCCCTTCTAGGTCTGAGTGCCACATCAACTTAAACTCACAGTCCTGTTCCCCGTCCCCAACATCTGGCCACACGATGCCTTGTCTTCTCCCCCACTCTTGGGTAATAAAGAGCAGACTGGCAAAATAGTTGAAATGCCTTCTTTTAAAAGCACACAGCTGTGTGGGCTGGGACTATTTTGAGCTAAATGCTTCAAACCTCCCGGCTCTGAGCTGCTCTAGGCATTCACTGACTCCAGTGAACAATGAGGAAGTCAATAAAAGACACCGCTGCCTCAGCTGAATGCCAGACCCTCATTCTGCACAGAAACACTAAGATGAATGGGGCATCTTTGCTGAGTCCAAGAACTATAATCCAGCATGGTGGGATATTGGATGTAGTGAAGGAGACACAGGTTAGGGCTGAAGAGGCCAGAGAAGAAAGCAAGGACCCCATTCAGTTGTCCAGAAACCATTCAGGGTTCAGTATGCGGTCTTGGAAGATGTAGAGTACAAATCCAACTAGAGACAGAAAAGCACAATCCAGGGCCATGGGTGTAAAAGGAAAAAGCAAGGGATAAAAAAAAAAAAAAAAAAAAAGGGCAAGGCTCAGAAGGGCTGGTTAAGGGAAGCAAGGTGAACTGGGCCAGTGTGTAAGGGCCCCAAACACCTCACACAGGTAACTAATCCCTCGCCTAGGCTGTGCCTACACATAGCCAGTGAAGTTCATGAGGGAAGTGGGGAGGTTGGAAGAGCCAGAGCAGGAAGTGGGAGGGAGCAGGGGACCTGGAACCCCTCTTCTCTGTTCTCAGTGTCATCATATGAGACCCAATAGACTTATATAAACCTGAGAGTACCCCTCTACACATAGCCCCCAATCCCGACTTTCCCCGGCCTAATTTCTACTCTTGCTGGTAGATGTTCACCAGAGGAACAAGCCGTTTGCCCTATCTTCAGTAGCTGGGTCAATAACCACACACACACACACACACACACACACAAAACACATGACACACGCATGTTTCCTGGCTGGCTGGTGGGAACAACAGGATGTATTTGGCTTTTTTCCCTACAAACCAGGATTTCCCTAGCATTCCAGAGAAATGTCCAAGTGACCTCCCCTGTGACCCTGTCCGCTTCATTGTCCCAGGGATCGTCTAAATTTCCTGGACACTTTCTCCTTGGCCTTGAACAACCTGCCCCTGTAAATGTGCACTGGGACAGCTCATTCTGGAAGCTCAGCAATGGAAAGTCACTGCAGCTGTGGAGAGCCACCAAATCTCCTGAAACTTATTACCAAAACAGGTGTAAAACGGGTGCTCCCCCCCCCCGGGTTCCTCGAGCATCCCTCTCTCCTCTTCTGCTCTCTGTAGGTGAAAAGAAGAGAACCGGGTGGGACAGGGGAGAGAGAGCTGCAGGTGGTAAGGAGAGGAGCGAGGTTCATGTTGGGAGAACTCTATTCCAAAACTGTCCCTCCTCCTCTAAGTACCTGTGTAAGCCACCCCTCTTTGAATGTTACCTGTCTTAACATTTTTGGGGGGCATAAAAATAAATTCCGCGGAAGGTGGTCAATTCAGAGTGAGTAAACCGCGGTGTAACCCTGAGTAGAGAGAGTAAAGCAATGGAATCGAGGACCTGGGAAACACCGAACAGCCTTAAAGGGGAATATGGTTCCTGAAATTTGCACCTGTAAGAATCAAATGCACGCCCCCGCCCTCCGGATCCCACCATCGGAGGGAGAGCAGAAAAGTGCGCGTCGGGGGAGAGAGCGCCAGAACTGGGCACCTGTGCGCGCAGGTGGGGCCGGCGCGTGGGGACAACAACATGGCGACACCGCCCCGCAGAGCCAGCTGAGCTAGGAGCGGGACGATGCGACCCACCTGAAGACTCGCAGCAGCAGGCAGGCGATGAGCAGCGCGCTGAAGGCGCACGCCACGATCACTGCCGCCTTCAGGGTGGGCAGGTCGCGAAGCAAGCTGGAGATTCGGGTCACCACAGCTTGGCCGCTGCTATTGGAGCCGCCCCCGCCCGCCACGCCAGATTCCAGCCGGGTGACATTTTTCAGGCTAAGCGAAGGCTGGTGCTCCGCTTCGCGCTGCGAGGCCGAGACGGACTCGGCTGTGTGAGCGAGGGCGGCGGGCGCGGCCAGGAGAGCGAGCAGCAGCGGCAGCAGCGGCAGCGGTGGCGACAAGGCGCTCATGGTGCGCTGTGCGCACGGTGCGGAGGTCTGCCTCCAGGAAGCCTGAGCCTGGGAGACTCGCAGCCAGAAGGTCTGTGCCCTGGAGGCTTGCACCCCGGAGGCCTGCGCCGGGGGCTCCCGCGGCCGAGGCGGCTGCGCGGTGCTCGGCAGGAAGCAGCAGAGCCCGGAAGAACCCGCGCCGCCGCGCAGCAGCCACCAACACGTTGCACCGAGTCATTCGACGGGCTTCGGCCCCGCGTGGGCGGGGCAGACTTCGGCTGGGTCCCCGCTGTGCTCCGCCCCTAGGTGGCCCCAGGCTGATCCGGACCTGAGACCCCACGGAGAAATCCTAAGGGCCTGGCTCACTCTGCTCAGAGCAGTATGCTGAGCGGCTCACGCGATTTCTCATTCAATCCAGCAGCCCCCTCTAGGAACAGGTATTCTCTTGTCCTCATTAGTTGATTTAGCACGAAAGAGCCAGCTCACAGCAACCTAGATTTCCCACCTGGAGCTTGCAAGCATTTTGCTTTTCTACTGGTGAACTAGTTTTCTGTGTTCCCACCTTTGGTTAAACAGATTCTCCAGACCAGCCTGAAGTTTCAAACTCCGAGGAGTAATTGATTGTTGTGCAGTCTCTGGTATATAAACTAAATGGTGCTGGAGTGGAAAACAGCTGTGGGCACTCTTCTGGGAGCCCATGAATTGAGGCAGTGCTGAGTGTATTCCTGGAGCAGACCCCAGAACAATCTGGAAGGCACTCCCCAACGATAGACCAAGACCAGGAGAGTTTGAACGCCCCATTTCTGGTCCTGCTAGAGAGGCAAACCAATATAATGACATGTTCGGTGTCTGTATCAGCCTAACCAAACTTCAATAATTACTCCAAAACTTAGTACCTCACAACAGCACACATATATTGCCCCGGACCCAAGGCTATCTGGGCTCTGAGGTTTCTATGTCTTGTTAAGTTTAAGACCTCCCAAGGTTCACCGAGTAAGGATCTGTCTCTGGACTCAGTCAGCTTCTCCCGGCAGACTCAACCCTGTTCAGGCTATGAGACCAGAGGCCCCAACCCCCACCATCTGTCTGTCAGAAGCTGTCCTGAGTTCTCTGGTGGGAGACTTTCTAACAGAACATTTGTCATCTTCAAAGCATTCAAGCCCAGTTAGCAATTAAGTCAGTGAGCAAGACAGAAGACAGTTCTATAAAACATACTCGCAGATGGGACATACCCACACTTTTTCCTGAAACAATTCATTAGAAGCATGCCACAGCTTTCGTTCACACTTGAGACTGTGCAATGATGGCAATAACAGGAAGCTGGGAGCATTAGGGCCACCTAACAGCTGTCTGCCATATAGAGTGATGAATTTTTATTTTGGAGGGGATGAACAACATTCATTGCCCATCAGGCACTATGTGTAATGTGTGTTTGCACATGCTACAGGGATGAGAGATAGAGAAATCATATGTTCAGCATAATAGTGCATACCTTTAATCCCAGCACTGAGGAGGCAGAGGCAGGCAGATCTGTTATGCATCCAGTGCCATCCTGGTCTATATAGTACCAGAACAGCCAGAGCTACATGGTGAGATCCAAACTCCTACCACCACCACCCCCCAAAAAAAAGAAGAAAAAAGAAATGAAGGAAGGAAGGAAGAAAGAAAAGAAAAATCATATGGTTAAGATCTTTCAACTCTAAACTACCATTGTTTTCATATCAGAATGTACACAGAAGACTTTCTATAGATCTGGATAATTCCCCCAGCCTTCTCTAAAACAAGCTTCAGAGGCCACAGACTTGTAATTTGTTACTTAAAAGAAATTCTAACAAAGTAGAGCACAGGTGTACCCAAGTTAAAGCTACTCAGTAAGGATGGACGTTGACTGTTGAGTGGTCTTAGCTGTAAAGACAACCAATGAGTAGAGGTTTTTTAATATGTAATAAGAGTAACAGGGCTGAACATAATAAGGTCCCTGAGAAAATCCACAATGGAGAAGCAGGCTAGAGAAATGGAGCTGCAAAGGGCTTTGGTCCAGTTCCTAGCACCCACTGGAACACAACTCCAGTTCCAGGGGATCAAGCGCCCCCTTCTGGCCTCCCTAGGCACTGCACACAGTTGGTACACACATATGTAGGCACACAAACATATACATACATAAAAATAAATATCAGCCTTCTCTCCTCTTGCCACAACATATGAGCTATAGATGTGATTATTTGACATTGACTTAACACCAAGAATATAGAAAGCATAAACATTAAACTAGTGAAGTGACATTTTAGGGTCTTTCATTTGTCCTAATTAAGGCTCACTTATAAATTGCTCCATATTAGAATTCCCTAAAGCATTTTGCTCCAAATAGCTGTGAACAATGGCCTTTTTAACGTGGGAAATTGGTAACAGGTGACAGTGACCAACTTTAGCTGATATTAAATCAAGGGTTACTGGACACAGGTTAGGCTGCCTCCAAGACGACTGTCCACTAGAACAGTCTAGAAGCATGGTCCCCACTGCGGTTCCCCACACCATTTTGTGGAATCTTCAGAGTGAGAAATAATTCCAGAATGATGCTGAGAGGGGATCTTCCTTTTTCATTGAGCTGACACCTGTGCTATTGTCAACAAGGGTGGCAGCATGACTCAAGGCAAATTCTACTTAGCCAGGTGTCATCTCAAAGCCATGCTCTGCACAGACAGAGCCAATGTCACTGCAAAATTCCCTTGATATAGCCCTGAAATTGTTGAGCATTGACTCTGGAGAACAGGGCATGTTACCATCATATGTGATAAGACAGGAAGAACCAATAAGTCACTTTTGTTCCATGCTGAGAACTGATGGCGAACTTGAGGAAAAGCAAGCATGGGATTCTTGGAGCCGCAAACCAAATGGTCATTTTTTTTTTCTTGGAACAGCAGAGTGACTGACAGACTTCAGAGTGGGTCTTTGGCAGGCAGTGTCCCAAAAATATGAACAAAACGAGCTATAGCTTCAAGGAAGCCAGCTGACAGTATTGTGGCCAATGATAAAATCCAAGACTTCAAGTGAAATTTTAGAAAACTTGTCCATTAGGATGCTTTATATCATGAGTTTGATAGTTTCCCAGTGCCTCAAAACTTTTCTGAGTATGGAAGTATTTAAAAGTGTAAGCCTCCCCAACTTCTCACTCCTCCCCCCCCCACCTCTTACTCCTTACCCCCTTCACTTCTTACTCCTCCCTCCACCACCTCTTACTCCTTCCCTCCCTCCCTTCTCTCTCCCTCTCTGAGACAAATAATGTGAGTGTAGCACAGATTGGCTTCAAACTTTCAATTTTCCCACCTATATCTCCTGAGCTTTGGGATTACAGCTGTGTACCATAGTACCTGAATTCTTTTTTGTATATTTTTCAGTTTTTAGATTTGTGCGTGTGTGTGTGTGTGTGTGTGTGTGTGTGTGTGTGTGTGTGTGTGTCTGTCTGTCTGTCTGTCTGTCTGTCTGTCTGTCTGGTTGTCTGTCTGAGTGTTTTAGTTGTATGTATGTACATGTACCATGCCCATGCCTGGTGCCCATGGAGGACAGAAGAGAGCATCCTATAGTCTAGAACAGAGGCTAAACCACCACACAGATGCTGGAAAGTGAACTCAGATCTGCTGCAAGGGCAACAGTGCTCTTAACTGCTGAGCTGTTGTTCCAGCTCCTTTGTAGATTTTATAGTTTATAACTCTTATCCTGCAGGAACTCCTCCTAAGCACCAAATTACAAGACTATGGCATCCAAAGTTTATGCCTTAAAGGCTGTGAAATCATGAATGTTTTATAATGAAACCTATCAAAATTTGGAAAGTCTGCTTACACCAGCAGACTAATTTTTCCTGAGAGGCAGATGCACATAGTTAGGAATTAACGGTGAGTGAAGGTCCATTAAAAGTGGGTGCATATGTGCTTGGAAAAGGATTTTATAAGTATACTGGAAAATTGCTCTATCACTGAGCAGCCCCAGCCCAAACCAATTGGTCTTAGTTACTGTCCTATTGCTGTGAGGAGACAGCAGGGCCAAGGCAGCTTATAGAAGAAAGCATGTAATTGGGGGCCTGCTTACAGTTTCAGAAGACTAGTCTCTGGTGGTGAGTGCATGGTAGCAGGTAGGCATAAACTGGTGCAGTATTGAAAGCTTACATCAGATCCACAAGATGGAGGCAGAAAGGGAGAGAGACTGGGTCTGGCTTGGGCTTTTGAAACCTCAAAGCCCCAGTGCCACACCTCCTGCAACAAGGCCATACTTCATAATCCTTCTAAAACAGTTTCACCAATTGGGAACCAGGCTTTCAAACATACGAGGCGATGGTGGGGGCAGGGGTGGCATTATCATTCAAACTACCACAATGCTATATTAGTGTGGTAACATATTTTAATGAGTTAAGAGACATTTTAAGAACTTCTGTATTTTAATTTCTTTTTCTATTTCCCCCCTTTGGTTTGTTGTTCCTTTGTTGTTGAGACAGGGTCTTTGTAGCTTGGGCTGTACTCAAACTCATGGCAATTTTCCTGCCTCAATCTCCAAAGTAGTGATATGGTAAATATAAAGCTAGAATACAGTCAATATGTAAACCCACATAAACAAATACTCTTAGAGGCCTCAATATTCCTGTCAGCTTAGGTTTGTTTTTTTAACAGAGCCTTGCTGTGTAACTCAGGCCAATGGAAGGCCAGTTAGTATCACATGCTTATAATCCAGCACTTGGGAGACAAAGGCAAGAGAATCAACTTTGAGGCCAGCCTGGTTAGTTCAAGGCCAGCCTGAGCAACTGTATTGGTTACTTTTCTCATCCCTGTGACCAGTTACCCTGACAGAAGCCACTTAAGAGAAGGAGGATTTATCTTGGTGTCTCCTTTAGAAGCTACAGGCCACTATGGAAGGAAAATAATGCTTGCTGGCTCTGAGATCATGGAAGTAGGAGTTTGAAATGATGGTGTGTCTTTAATGATGCTAATCCCTTTAATGCTCTCACTGTCTAGTGGGCATTGGTGGCACACACCATTAATCCCAGCACTCAGGAGGCAGAGGCAGGAAGATCTCTGTGAGTTTGAGGCCAGCCTGGTCTACAGAGCTAGTTCCAGAACAGCCTCCAAAGCAATACAGAGAAACCCGGTATGGGGGGGTGAAATACCCTCACTGTCCCCTCAGGAAGTTTCAGTTGGCTATTTATGTCTGCAAAAAAATGCCTGGTTTTTTAATTCTTCTGCACCTGCTTATTCATGATTCTCACTGCAAGCCTTAC